TGAACTGAAGAAGAGATTGACCGAGGCACCGGTACTCGCACTACCCAAACAAGGTGTGGGGTACGATGTCTACAGCGACGCAAGCATCCAAAGGCTTGGGTGTGTCTTGATGCAGAATGGGAGGGTGATTGCCTATGCTTCACGACAGTTGAAGAAGCATGAGGTAAATTATCCCACTCATGACTTAGAGCTGGGGGCGGTGGTGTTCGCATTGATGATTTGGAGACATTATCTCTACGGCGAAACATGTCATATATACACTGACCACAAAAGCCTGAAATACGTGTTTACTCAGAAGGAGTTAAACATGAGACAGAGACGGTGGATGGAGTTGATAAAAGACTACCATCTAGTTATCGAGTACCACCCCGGTAAGGCCAATGTGGTAGCGGATGCCCTGAGCCGAAAGAATTCGTCTGGGGCATTGTTGACGAGTTTGAGGGCATTGAGAGCCCGATTGGAGGTATCTAGTGACGGTGCTTTGTTAGCTAGATTCGAGGTGAGACCTACACTACTTGATGAGATCAAGAAGGGTCAAGAAGCTGATGAGGAGCTCATGAAGGTCCGAGAACGCATGCTAGCGGGACCGGTAGAGGATTTCAGGGAAAGAGACGATGGTCTCTTATTGTTTCGTGACCGAGTGTGTGTACCGTTGGATGATGAGCTCCGAAAGTCCATCTTAGAGGAGGCTCATTCATCGGCGTATGCCATGCACCCGGGAGGCACGAAGATGTACCGTGATTTGAAGGAAAGCTACTGGTGGTCGGGTATGAAGAGGGAAATAGCCGAGTACATCAGTAGGTGTCTTACTTGTCAGCAAGTTAAGGCAGAACATCAGCATCCGGCTGGGTTGTTACAGCCATTATCCATTCCTGAATGGAAATGGGAACACGTGACTATGGATTTCGTGGTAGGGCTGCCATGGACGATTAAGAATTATGACGCCGTATGGGTTGTGGTTGATAGGCTCACGAAGAGTGCACACTTTTTACCAATCAACACCACCTATGCACTGGAAAGGTTAGCCAAGTTGTATGTGGATGAGATCGTGAGGCTGCATGGGGTCCCTATAACCATTGTATCCGATAGAGATCCGCGATTCACATCACGATTTTGGCCGAAGTTCCAAGAATCTATGGGGACACAATTGAAATTCAGTACAGCTTTCCATCTGCAAACGGATGGACAATCCGAGCGGGTTATACAGATATTAGAGGATATGCTGAGAGCTTGTGCATTGGAGTTCCAAGGGAGTTGGGACAACCATTTGGCACTTGTGGAGTTTGCCTATAACAACAGTTATCAGGCGAGTATAGGCATGCCTCCATACGAGGCATTGTATGGGAGGAGATGTCGTACACCTTTGTGTTGGGATGAGGTTGGCATGGCCAAACTCGAGAGCACGGAACTGGCGGAAATCACCAAGTCGAAGGTAAAGATGATTCGTGACAGACTTAAGGCGGCACAGGATAGACAGAAGAGCTATGCCGATAAGCGCCGAAGAGCCTTAGAGTTTAAGGTTGGGGATGAGGTATTTTTGAAAGTTTCACCTTGGAAAGGAATCATCCGATTTCAGAGCCGAGGGAAACTCAACCCACGCTACATAGGGCCATTTGTAATTCTTGAGAGAATTGGGGCCGTAGCATACCGATTACTGTTGACTCCGGAATTGGAAAAAATACATAATGTATTCCATGTGTCTATACTTAAGAAGTATATCCCGGATCCATCTCATGTACTAGGGAAACCACCCGTGGAAATACGGGAAGACCTGAACTACGCCGTGCAACCGGTAAAGATACTTGATAGACAAGTAAAGAAGCTAAGAAGCAAGAAAGTTCCAATGGTTAAAATCCTTTGGAAAAGTGACCGAGTTGAAGAAGAAACTTGGGAGACTGAAGCATCGATGAAGGAGCAGTATGCATTTCTGTTTGAATAATCGATTGTGAATTTCGGGGACGAAATTCCCGTTAAGGGGGGGTGAACTTGTAACACCGACCCCGAGCATATTTACTTTTAGTAAATTATGTAATAAACCTTGAATGATGATTTATGAATTTGCGTAATTGTAAATTTTTATTATTTCTTTTACGTGAATAGTAAATTGCATGTGGGGGCCACAGCGGGAACGGGGACCGCCCGATAATTCCCGAACCACATGTTATATTCATCTTGGTCTAGATGACACCTATATGGTGGTGGATACTTTATTTGGGCCATAAGAAAGGCATAGAGTTGACCGGTTGGTCAAACGGGGCCCAATTACCGGTATTGGTAAATTAGCGGGTAACAGCCGGAAATGAGTTTCGGAGACTCCTAAATTAATGTTGGGGATAGTACATCCATTCTAAAGGCCCAAAATTGTTGGGAACGCGTGATATATTTTATCCGGCCCGATAAAATAAAAAAAGACTAAAGCAGTCCGAGAAATACAACTTTCGGGGCCGATTATACACACCGGGACGTAATGGGATGACCTCCCACATGAGTGGGGGCCACCCCACGATTTTGTGTGATCTAATTGACACATTGGGAGCTGAGTGAGTCAAATAAACATGGGCTGTGCATGAAGGGATGGCTGGAGACAACCAACCACTCCCTTGGCCATACCTCTTCATTGTTTTTGGCTTGGGTGAGGATAGATACCTCCCCCCTTCCATTTGACACCATTCACTCGACCAAAGCAGAGAGAGAAGCTCCAGGGAAGTCTCCTCTCCTAGTGCAAGCAGCAAGGAAGAGAATCCAAAGAGAAGAGGGTTGTTCTTGAGGTAAGAACTCAACAAACAATCTTGTAACTAGTTTTTTGTGTATGATTTTTGAGAAATCATATGGTGGATTAAACCATGAGTTCTACACGTCTAAAAGTGTAGAATATTGTTATAAAGTGGTGTTAATTAACTTAGAAGAGTTGGTGAATCGATAGGAGTCGAAATCGCCGGAAACCGCCACATATAGGGAGCTGTTCGTAGTTGCAGACTACGAAAGCCGCCCGGCTTTCGTGAAAGCCGCCCGGCTTTGGCCCAGAAATCCAGCTTTTCACTTTCAATCGGCCTAGAACGGGGATTGATCGAGGGGCTTAACAAAGGCAACTATTGTAGCACATCACGAGGTGAGGATGACTGACTATATTGCTTATAATTAGTGAGTTAATTTCATAAGAATGCCTAAAGTGATTAGATGGGATTTTCATGGATTATTAATGATTAATAATGCCTAAATGAAAATAATATGGATATGAGTAAGTGAAGCATGATATACAAATTTAGAATAATTGTGTATGATTATGTGAAATGAATGGAACGGCTTGTTAATGGAATTACTATGATGACATTGTGATAAAATATACTTTACTTCATGTATGAAATTCATGAATGGATTAAAGTGATATTTTTGATATTGAGATTAAACTATATTTGGGTTGAGAAATCAATGGAAATGAAATGCAAATTGGGAAATAGGAACTTGGCATGTTCTAAGGTTATCCAATTAGTATCAAAATACTAGTCGGGGAATTAACATAAATAAATGATGAAACAAATCCTAAGAGGTAGGATTGTGAATAGATATGCCTTAAGTAGTCTCAAGAGATACTTAAGGATGAATGGTATGAACACTAAGGTGTGATAGAGGTAGGCCTAAAGGCCACCTACGGGAATTGATTCTAGGCATAGGGCTTGCTTGAGAATTTGATTATGAGAATAATTAGAGTTGGACTCTAGGATGACATGGAGATGTAGTTGGGCCGAGCCCATGCCATGTAATATGATTAGCATGGAAACGTAGTTGGGCCGAGCCCTTGCCATGTATATGTGACCTCCGTGGAAACGTAGCTGGGCCGAGCCCTTGCCACGAAGTTATGGTTGGTATGGAAACGTAGTTGGGCCGAGCCCTTGCCATACAAATTTTGATATGATATATTGAGCTAGAGGATTGTATAGAGATGTAGTTGGGCCGAGCCCATGCTATACAATTGGGGCTCGATGGGACCCCACGGGGTTATTGTGACTCGCGGTCACGGGGGAATGGAAAAGATGAATTCTAAATGAGTATGGGCCTACGGGCTGACTACTTGACTTTATGTAAAGTAAGTACAGTTAAAAGAAAGAGGGGTAACCGAGGGTTATGGCCTATAATATAATAGTACCCTAAGTTGAGGGTCTTGGAAATTAAAACGTTGATTATACTTAGTATAGTTGCTATTGTACTTGTCAAATATTTCCAAGTACTGACCTCCCCTTCACGGGGGAGGCCACCTCACAGTTTCAGGTAGAACTTGAAGGTCGCTGCCATTGCCCGTTGCTTCGGGAGGAAATCAAGGGAAGAAGACGTGGTTCGTGCTTCTCCCGTTCTGTTTTAAAAACAATTACATTAATGCTCATGGATAATATTTTCTGAATAATTACCTTGGGGGCTTGCATGCCTAGTTATGCCAAGTGTGGCTTGAACAATTGTATTAATGCTTCCGCTATTTTAAATGCATGTTTTACATTATGTTTGTTTATGGATGTACTATGTGTGAATGATATTCATGACGCCTTGTATAGTATGGGTGAGTTGGACTGCGGTTGATTATTCGTACTGTACGGCGGGTTGTTGACGTGTCCGGCTAGGTCCGGGGCGTGACAATTACGCACATTACCAATCAACCAATTGTCCCAAGTATCTGCAATCATCTTTACACGCGTCGTCATACCATTGGACTAATACATTTATTCTATTAGACATATAGGTATTGCGTAAACTTACTGTTATTCAGCCCAATTTCATAATTGATCTTACTTAGCACTTTTAGGGCTATTATCTCCTACAAGACTTATGTTACATGTCTAGGTTTTAACAAGTTGAGGCAATAAAAAGGCTATTATTCTATCTACAATTCAATATGTGATCGGTGTTAGAATATACATTAGCTATCACAGATATAAGCTTGAACCCTTGATCCGTTTGTGTAAAAAGTAAACTCTATATTTATACACAATACAAGAGCTGCAGATTCAATTGGGTTTAGAATTTCACAATAATTGTTTTTCTCTCTTCTTCGTTCCCTTTTTACTACTCTGCTATATACTTCGTATATGATTAAACATGGACAATTACAGATTTATAAAAATTACAAGGAAAAAATTAGCCATGACAATTTTTAAGTTAAGTATATGCATTCTATAATTTCCTAGTATAGGCAGCATGAAAATGAAAATTAACATTGGAACTCAAATAATTACAGCAAATTACTGCAATTAAAAAAACATAGTATGATCGGATTAGTCGGAGAGGCCAAAACGAGCCGGACATTCGGCGGCTTTAAGCCAAGTTTCCCCTTGCAAGAATGGACCGATGGTATATTCCATGGCTTCCTCCTTCTTTATCTCGCCTTTATAGCCTTCCCACTTCACTCTGGAAGTAACCGCCGCCCCCTTGCCGGAGTTTCCGTACTCAGCGTAATACAGAGTCGCCAGAGCAAAGTCGCCACTCCACGGCATCCACCCTTCCGGGTCGATGAAGTCGCCGATTTCCGACTCCATTACCACCGTTCTTGAGTACTCCTTCCACGGGCGGCCCAGATAGCTCTTGGTCTTCGCCTTCTCCGGCTCGAGGGTGTCGTCGGCGAGAATCTTGCAGTTCTGAAGAACGATTCCGGTGGTCTGCCGCTTGTCGGTCCTCCCCTGCGCCGTCACGATGTTCTGCTGGTTCTCCATCGGCTTCCGGGCGTAGATCATGCAGTTCTGGAAGACGGCAGCGGCGTTCCCGAAGATGAAGTCCACCGTGCCGGTGATGTAGCAGCCGCGGTAGAATTGGCGGTGGGCTTGGACGTAGAGGGTGTCTTGGTACGCCTCCATGCGGCAGCTGAGGAATATTGCCCGGTCAGCTTGGACTCTGAGCGCCACCGCTTGGTGCTTCTCCGGTCCCGCCGTGTTCCGGAATCCGATCGATTGGCCCAAGAATCCATCTCCCATCACAGCTACACGTACAATTCAATTTATCAAAACGAAGTTGTTATTATAAGGAGAATAAATTTCTAATTTGCATTTTGCACTACTTTTCTCTATCAACACAACTTCATTTTATTTATTTAACAAATCAAAATTTTATCATATTCTAATTTGAATTTTGAGATTTTATAAAACCGTCAATGTAATTTCTAAATTTTACTATCAAAATTGAATTAAATACTCAGATACGATTAATTTTATCATTAATCAAACTTAATATATGTAAATTGCAATTCAATTTGGACCGAACTAAATGCAAAATATTTGCAAAGCAAGATTTTTTCACATGGATAAGATTTTTTTGTCTACGGTAACGATATTGAACTGATATTGAATTGATAAAATAAAAATAAATTAATAATCATTTATAATTATACAAATTTTACCAAATTTAGTATGTGACAATTCTAATGTGACGGGTCGAAAAGGAAAATTATGACAATTTTAATGAGAAGGAAGACTATTTGAGAAGAAAAAAATATAGGAAGAGTCTCTTTTCAATAAATTTGGTATGAGACAAATAGATATGCTATCACAACTATTGCCATGTCAAAATTGTCACTAAACATATTGTTTTGAAAGTATATAGGAAGAGATCCTTATAAAATATTAAACTGAAAACATTCAACCATAGATACAAAAACCAATATTAACACTAAATGACATAAAAACTAAAAATCAAACACTCATGAGATGCTAATCAATTTATGTTCAATAACATATTTACATGAACGTTTGTTATTACACGTACCAAATGTTGCAGTTTGATATGTTGACACTCCATCCACGTAATTTTTGCTCCCTGTAACGATAGTTTTCTTAGACCCAACTCCATATATTGTCAGGTTCACCATTTTCTTAGTGACCACTACATTTTCTTCATATATTCCTTCCTTCACAAAAATTACATACCTGCATTTCATACACTAGTTTAAGCCTTATTTCCAACCCTAATAAACTTTTGAACAAAAATTAGAAAACCACTGCATAAAACTGAAAAATATTTGTATTAATTTATTGCATTCATCTACTCATCTAGTGTCAAAGTGTATTAGCTTATGAGAAATATTCAGAAGTAGAAGTAAAAGCAATTTAAAATGGATGAATTCCTCAAATAGGAGTAAAACATAGGCAAAATGCAAAAATAGGAGTACCATGTTTTGAATAGGAGTAACTTTAGTGTTTGGACAAGTATACCCCTACCCAAACCCCAAGCTCCAACAAATTTCATTAATAATTAAAACATAAAAGAAATACTCCGTAAGATTAATTAATTTATAATAAAATTATTAAAAAAACACAAAAAATATCAAATAAAATATACTCCGTATTAAATAAAATAAAAAATTATTAAAATAAAAAAGTAAAAAATAAAAAACAAAAAAAATTAAAAAAATGAAAAAATATAAAAAAAATATGTAGGCGTCTGCCGCCGGCTCAACAACCTCCCAGCACCACCAACTCCGACCACCGAAAAAAAATGCCAACATTTTCCCGAAATGCCATCAAGATGGCAGATTTTGAGAAAATTTGGCATTTTCAAAGAGTAAAATTGTCATCTTTATAGCATTTTCAAATAAAAATGACAGTTTTTACATAAAATGGCATTTTTCACCGATCGGAGGTGATATTGTTGGGTGATGACCGAGACTGTGGGAGAGGCCTGCATAATTGTTTTATATTTTTTAATGCAGTTTATCTATTTTTTATTTATTTTTAAAGGTTTTTATTTTTACAAAAATAAATTTTTTAATATTTAATATTTTAATATTGTTGGGATGAACTTAGATTATTTTTAAAATTAAATGGCCTGCATAAAGGTTTAATTTCTAGTGAATGAACTTAGATTTTTTTAATAGGATCAAATAAGTTATATTTTAGAATTAACTAAGTTAGGGATATTAAGGGTACAAAATTAATGTTTACTCCTATTGAAGGAAGTTTTAAGTTTTACTCCTATTTGTGCAATTATGTTTATGTTTACTCCTATATTGGGCAATTTCTCATTTAAAATTCTAAAATAGAAGTATTGTACTGTGTGTTTTTACAAAATATGGGTAATTGTGGTCATTGTGAAATCAAACTATCATAGTTTCACATTATCAAGAGTTAATATAGTTGTGGTTAAATTATCGGAAAATAAGAATTAATCTTATATAGGAGAAAAATATACTACATAATATTCATATTTTGTATCGATGGCAACTCCGGTACCCATTTAAAAAATGGGGTACCGTACCTGCACTCACTTGATTGGTTCAAATCATTACATCATTTTTAATTTAGATTTAAATAATTCAACTACATAATTTTGATTAGTCCATATGGACAAAAGTACAGTACATTAAGGATAACATAGAATCTACCTTTTGTATTTACACATTACTTTTACTTTTATTTAAGACAATTTCAAGTTTCAAAGGTACTAGATTTCGGGCTCAAGAACATATTATCCATCACAGTGACCAACTCGAGAAATGTCTCAATTTTGGGCGAAATCGTTTAAATGGTAATTCTTTTAGGGTCACCATTCATATTGATCATTTTTTGAAGTGGCATTATGCAATTACTTTTTGCGATTGGCTAGCCGTTATGTTTGAAATTCTTACCGCCCTTCGTACTTCTCAGGAATGGCGGCTAAAGCTGCATTAATGGTTGTGAAATTTCCACTGCCATCCTTGGCAACGGTGGCATTGGCGGGCTGTTTGGGGGCTTCAACCTTCAGCATCCTGCGTTCCTCATGATCCATCCATTCCGGAAACTCCTCGTCGTCCTCGGCGAGGAGGTGCCGCCCACCTAGGTCCAAATCGGGGATTTTGAAGCTAGAAAGCGCGGAGGAGAGCTGAGAGACGATGGCGAGAGCGTTGCTGGAAATCTCCTCGGCGACCTTGAGGGATTTCTGGATTGCAGTTTTCTCTTCTCCGTCGGGGAAGCCGTCAATGCAATTGTCCTGATACGTAATCACGGCGCTAAGCCAGTTGTTCAAATCAGGGGTTCTGGATGACAGGCTTTCCAAATCCTGGCCACCTACACCCGACATTGAACTGTTCAATTCATCCATGGCGTCGGCGAGGAGCACCTTGCAATCGTCGAATGCCGCTTTCTTCTGAGGCGTGTCGAGTTTGAGATCGCCGGCTTGCTTGATCGCCTTGTCGATTTCCTCAACGGCGATCGCCATGGAAGCCTTAAGAAGCTCCTTAGGATTATGAGCGGTGGAGGCATTCTCCTTCACCGCCCTCCCGAGGCTGTCCTGGCAGGTAGCGTTGTAATCCGTGCCGGCGCATATCGTCATTATGACCTTCTGAGCCTGTCCGATGGCAGGTAATTCGGACGGTGATTCAGACGGTGATATAGACGACGTTCCAGACGGTGTTTCCGATGGCGTTTCAGACGGGGCTTCCGACACGGCTTGTTCAGCGACAGCCGTCGATTTGGCGGCGGGGGGCTCTCCCTGTTCCACTCTCTCCTCCGATTTGGGAGGAGACGGCGGTGGGGGATGCGGCGAAGATTTTGCTTTGTGGGACTTGTTTGTCTTAGTGGAATGCTTCCCATGTTCCTCGTGGGGAGCCTTAAGCACAAAAAAGTATGCAAATGCCGCGGCGGCGGCGAGGAGAATGATGACCACCAGAACGACGGCCGTGATGATTTTACGCCGCATCTTGGCCTGCTTTTCCTTCTTCCGCCGCTCGGAAATCAGGTCAAAATCTTGAAACGCCATTCTCTTTTAATTAATTGTTTGAGTGCTTAATTATTTGATTAATTAGTTAGAAGTGGAGGCAGAGCACAACTCTGCCCTGGATTCAACCCAATCCAAGGCAGAAGAGACTTGAAAGCTCAGATATTTTCTGGCTCTGTTTTTATTCGTGTTTCATTAGCTCGTTTAATTAACGTTTGGGTTGAGTGGATTAGTGAGGCATGATTAAATTTCTCAAAACTAAGAGAGGGAAACAAAAAAATGGCATGGATTAGAGAAGTTTCAGGATTACCAGCCTAACAGCCTGATTCAAACTGTTTTCTGTTGAAGGGAAGGGGTAATCCCTATTTCAGATGCAATATGTTCCTTTTCAACCGTTGCTTTTCATTGATGTTCTTTCCCTTGCTAAATTATAAACCACCAAGCTATAGGACCGTAAAATCTTCACTTTTTTCCCTATTGACAAGCTGTCTAAAAGAAAATGGGGTTTTGCTAGAATATTACGAAAAAATTAGAGAATAGACAAAAAGCGGTTTCTCTTAAAATTGCAATAAATGTGAATAAAGAAGAATAAAGGGATTGTTTTACCCTTACTAAAACAACTGATCCGTTACCGTGACTAATTGCATAGTGACTTTCGCCCAGTTACCAAATGACATAGGGACTCTTGTCCAATGATTAAAGTTCACCCGTTCAGTGACTAATTAACGCATACTCATCCAGTGATCCACGTCCGTCCGTCCAGTGATCAACACCTGCCCGTCCAGTGATCGATGTCCACTTACAGTTACTTTGTCAGTCCAATCATAATTACTTGGATCGTCTAATTACAATTATTTGACCAGTCCAGTTACTGTTACCCGACCAATCAATTACAATTACTTGAATCAATCAATTACAATTACCTGACCCTATCCGTAACACTTACATGATATGATTCGCTTTCAGACCTGCAGGCCGCCGTCGGCCACTGTCTCCGGTCACCATCGCCGGTGACCCATTGTTGAACATATTCTGACCGCCACAACCAAGCATGCTCTGACGTCGACCGCACGCTGCCCCACCAGACCACCACATACCTCTCCTTTGTTCCCCAGTCACGTCCTTGTCCTGCCCCCAATTCCCCTCCCCAGCTCCACCTCCGAGCCCCAATTCACCCCTCCTCAACTCTAGCTTTGACCAGCCCTACACAGCCCCACCCGAACATAGTCCCAACCCACCACTACCAAACCTCAACCAAAATTCCTAACCGCCAGCCTGATCTGGTGTCAAATGAAACAAAGAAGAAGGAAAAGATTGACGGCGATGTTGTAAATGCGAAGGCGATAGCCTATCACTATTAGTATACTACTACTATTACTGCTACTACTACTAATTTTATGAAAATAAAATTTTTATTTTCCTGTTCCTCAAAACCTGAAGAACCGAACCGCTACCTAGAACCTTTGGTCTCGAACTTTAAGCTTGCCTTGATGTTTAAAAGCCAATGACTCTCTAGAATTCTCTATAACCTTCTTTATTAAGTACTCTGGTTCCTAGTTAGTTAAATATGGTACGGGAATTAAACGAGCTGAGGTTTAATACGTACACGTTTTATTCGGTAACAATAATGGAAAAAACGGTCAAAAATTCGTCGAAAAAACGTTGACTTTTTAAAAAACGTGTATGTACGTACACGCGTATAATACGGTATCAGTTACAAACATTCGGACAAAAAATAAAGGATATTATTTTGAACATTTAAATTATATACTTCACAAAATAACATATGTAGTAAAAAAAATAAAAGTACACACATATTCAAGTGGAAAATTTCATAACTACATAAAAGAATAATTCCTAATTATATAAGTCGGTGACAAAAAAATATCAAGTCCAAGACATAAATTTGCAAACTATCTTTAACAAATACTCCGTCGTTATCAACAAATAATACATAATAAAAATAGAATGTGACTAAGTTAAAATCGATCACTATCTTTATATGATCATCAAATAAAACTCAATTTAAATTCATCATTATCAATAAGATGACGGATGTCATATAAGAAAAGTTGTGCGACTGCGCCGACTGGTACGCGCACTTGTTATTGTTTATTTGTAAAAGTTTATACTAAAAAATGTTAGGAATGGAAAAAAAACTTTGATTTGAAATGCTTATTTAGAAAAACATCAGAAGTTTAGTAGTATTTTAAGTTTTAGTCTTTTAGGATGCTAACTTTAGCCACCATGCAATTAATTTTAGTATTTAATAGCTGTATGTTAACAATACAAAAACATGGGGTCATAGGGATGAATTTTTCATTTTTGTTTTTAAACTATTATTGATCTCCTATGCATTTAATGCATTCATTCAATTGAAAAATTCATATATATTTTTTGTAAAATACGATATGTTAGCTTTAGCCGCCATGCAATTAATTTTAGTATTTAATAATTGTATTGTGACAATACAAAAATATGGGGTCGCAAGGATGAGTTTTTTTTTTTTTTTTGTGTTTAAACTATTGTTAATCTCCTATGTATTTAATGCGTTTATTCAATTGATCAATTCATGTTTTTAATTTTAGTAAAATACGGGAAAAATACGTTTTATACAGGAAGTAAGAGTTTTTTTCCTTTTTAAACAGACCGACATTATTTTTCGTTTTAAACGTGTTTTTTTGTTAAAAAAACGGTACTTGTTTAAAACGTGTTTAGAACGGGAAAAAGCTAACTAAGCTCTAGTTAGGATGTGTAGAATTCTCTAGAATTAAGTAATAAATACTCCCTCCGTTCCTTAAAACTTTGTCATCTTTCCTTTTTGGGACGTCCCAAAAAACTTTGTCACTTTCCTTTTTAATCAATTATTTTGTGGTTTCGGTTATTTTTCTTTCCTCTGCACAAACCTCAACCACACAGTTTTTACTTTATTATTATCCGTGCCGGTCAATTTTGACAAAGTTTTAAGGGACGGATCGGAGGTAGTAAGAGTTAGCTTGAACATTCTAGAATGTAATTAATGTAGGAGATTTTAGAAAAACTATCACCTCCTTAGGCTAGTATAAATAGAGGTGGATGAACACAACTGTATCATCACCAATAGAGTGAAACATCCTCAAGAGTGAGAGAAAGAGATACTCCCCATCTTTGCACTCAATATTTTATATTAATAAAGTTGTCTTTTATTCCTCCCAATATGAACAAGTGGTATTAGAACCAATGATCGGGGGCTGATGAAGTATATGGGTCTAGGCCCAGGACCCACATACTCAGAAGAACAGAAGGTACCACGATCACCTGGTGGGGGCCCCGTCGGCCGGATGACCTCCATCGGCCAGAAAGAAGTCTACTCAGAATGTAATCCAGAAGATAGGAGAACCGGGTGACCTCGTCGGCCGGGTCTTCATCGGTCATGCCCTCATCGACCATAGATAGCCTCTAGAACAGGATTGTATACTTAGTCATTTCTGTACACTTTGTATTCGGGCCATTAGAGACCCTATTGTAAATGTGCCTCCCAAGCCCAAGGCTTGGGAGCCCAACCCGCATTTTCCCTATAAATACTTCCTCTAAGAGTAGTTGTAGGGGTTGACAAATCATTTATTGCAAAGAGTTATTGCACTTCTCTCTAGCTCTTCCTTCTCTCTAGATATATAATCTATCATTTAGTGCTTTCATTGAGAGATAGAACAATCAAGTTAGCCTCCTTCGTCGCTACCAAGCACAGCTAACTGATAATGGGAAGAACCAAGTCTAACCGCAACCTCCTCGGCAAGGCCCAAGAGAACCGAGAACACGAGGAGGACGCTACGGCTGATAAGGCTCCCGTCGAGGATGTCTTCCAGGAAGCCATCAGCCTCACCACTGACCTGTGCAACAAGCTTAACAATATGCAATTCCAACTTGCTCCAAAAGGTTGAATGCCCAACCCTAAGGCCCCCCCACCCTGACCCGATAGGATAGTGGGGATGTTAATCACGGTGACTCAGTCATCAAAGTGGCGGTAGGCCTTATACACGTGCGCACCAGAGGTCCAGCCTTATTTCAGGTTCTGTAATCTCCACACGGCCGCTGCGGGTTTCGAACCTTGATCACTTGGTCCAATTTTCCCACCACTCGACCAACTGAGCTACCCGTGTGGGTAATTAACAATTCCAACTAGAACACTTGGAAGTGTTCGTATGCAATTTTATTTGCTTGGACAAGATTTGTAGGACATAATAATGACAACACATCGTCACCCACCAATGTGAAGGGATTACGGAAATGAAAGATGAAAGCGGGGAAGACCATGTATGTTTTATCCTAACAATTAGAGATGAGTTTTTGAATCACACCATAGATGCAAAAACTCCAAAGGAGGCTTGGGACACTTTG